TAGAGATCGGATACCGCATATATCTCTGCATGCAGTATCTGCACACAGGACAAAAAAAATAAGAAAAAATGGCCTTGCAATATGCTTGATGGGAATATTAGTAGACCACAAAGCTTCATTCTCTCTTGTTAATTAAAGAATACTTCCAAAAAGTCATTGGTTTTTTTCTCATTTACATCCAAAATCATACCAAAAATAAAAAAATTTACAATCAAGCGGCCACAAAATAATTAAAATTTAATTTTTTTTCGAAGCTTGATGTTCATCAATGGCTGCCAGATATTTCCCAATGATCCAGAATTTGTCTTCAGTGATTAGAAATTTCGCTTTCTTTCTACAAAAACACAGAATTTTACTCTTCTTCCGGAGCTTTAATGGCCTCCACTCTGCTGCGAAGTTTGATAGTTCCCAAAGAAGTCAAACTCTATATCAGATTCCACCTCTTCCAAACCTTCCAAAACCTTAACCACCATAGACATGGCCGGCCTTCTCTTACAATCACTCTGCAGGCACCACAAAGCTAATCCCATCACCTTAATCGCATCTTCTTCATCTCTGCAAATGTTTCTGATGTTCTGCAGAAAAATGTCCGGCAAAGATTCAATCTTTAATGTTTCCAACAGAGCAATTAACTGAACAGCTTCTTCAGGCTGAGAAGGATCCAAGTTCCTTCTTCCGCTCATGATTTCCAGAACCACAACTCCGAAGCTATAAACATCAACTTTTTCAGTAATGATCGAAGTTAACCATTCTGGAGCTAAATAACCAGGCGTTCCTCTCATTCTGGTCATCACCTCCCTCTGTTCTCTATCAATCAGCTTAGACATTCCAAAATCTGCAACTTTGGCTTTAAATTTCTCATCGAGCAGAATGTTTTGTGGCTTTATGTCTAAATGTGCGATTCTGTGCCTGCATTCTTCGTGTAAGTAGCAGAGACCTTTAGCGATATCGAGGATTATGTTTCTTCTGGTTTCCCAATCCAGTGAAGCTTCTTCTTCTTCTTCTTCTTCTTCTTCTTCT